ACCTTTTCCTACGAGTCACCTCACCATGGGAATATACCCACTGAGATATTAATGGCTGCCCTTGTGTAGCAGGCCACCTCAGCAGAATGCCCACCAGGCATCGCAAATGCCACACCCTTCAAAGTTTCACTTCTTAATGGCCATCTACAGTAGGCAACACTGTAGTTTCATAGACACAACCTCCCACGGCACTGCCTTTTTTGACATCTTCAAATTGTGTTTTAAAACAGCTTCAGTTTGTCACGGGCTGATGTAGATGTGGTGTAGGAGTCAAGCGCAGGACACAGAAGCTTAGTCCAACAGACTTTACTAGTCAAAACTAGGCAAATACAAATAACGGCCTCGACACAAAACAGAGGCGAGCGATTACGCAAACTGTGCGTAAACTACAAAACAAATAAATCAGAGAAAACACGCAGCACCAACGGACAGGCGGACAATAACACACAAACTCACAAACAAAAGCAGGAAACTTATAGGACACATAATCAGACACAAACGGACACAGGTGCAAAGGACAGACCAAACCAATCAAACATCGAAACATCTAACGGTGGTAGCTAGTACTCCGGGGACGACGAACGCCGAAGCCTGCCCGAGCAAGGAGGAGGAGCAGCCTCGGCAGAATCCGTGACACAGTTGTTATGGCTTCAGTGAATACGGCTTCAAGTTAGAGAATGTGAAACTGGGAAGTTCTATTCACAACTTCAAGTTGCCTTCTCCTAACAAGACAAAATCAAGGGCTGTGCCAGCTTTAGACACAAGATTGTGCATTTCCATTAATATCCTACAGGGTTGGGATCAATTCAATTTCAACGAGCCAGTCAATTCAGAAAGTAAATCAAATTCCAATTCCAGATTTTCCTAATTGAAAAGCATTGAAGAGACTTGGAATTGGAATTTCAGTGTACTTCCTGAATTGACTGGAATTGAAATGGAATTGACCCCAACCTAGCCCAAAGGCCGGCAGATTGCTATATTGAGTTGTTTTATCTCACCGTTCAAAGGGAGTCCATGCAGCCGGCTATACATTCGTATCTCCCGTGGACCGGTTTGTTCATAAAATATTCTCCACTCAGGCTGCAAATGCATCAATTTCCTCCTTAACTCGATTTAATGGTGAGAAGGCGCAAAAAAACGGGGAAAACATGCATTCATTTTTTTATGAAACACCATTTTCCACCACCATGCTAGTGGCTAAATGCTAGTCCAGGATGTTGCGTATCGCGTTCAGCCAATCAGGTTGCAGCAGTCTGTTGTTTACCATTTACATTTTACATTTTAGTCATTTAGCAGACGCTCTTATCCAGAGCGACTTACAGTTAGTGAGTTACCCTTGGTCTGAACGCTGTACACAACGTCAAGAAGTAGCGTTAGCCACCATTGCATGGTGGTGGAAAATGGTGTTTCATAAAGAAAGTACACATACAATATCTTCCCAGTTTTTTTTTCCACCTTCTTGCCATTGAATCGAGTTAAGGAAGAAATCGACACCTTTGCAGCCTGAATGGAGAATGTTTTATGTACGAACCAGTCCATGGGGGATACGAGTGTATAGCCAGCTGCATGGAATCCCTTTGGACGGTGAGATAAAACAACTCAATATTGCCATCTGACTGCCCTTGGGCTAACCCCAACCCTGATATCCCAATATTGACAAGTCACAAAGATGTCTCATTTGGTTGCATAGGCCACCAAGAGAGCATCTTACATTGAAGAGGAGAATAAAAAATATATATAAAGAAACACTGACTGAAGTGGGAAGTACAAACATTGTTACGAAACACATACTAGAGAATAGTCAAGTAGTAAAACAATTCCATATCGGACATACTCCCAGAGCAGAGAGAGTGCGAAAGAGAAGACAACATCTTGTGTCATCTATCTTCCTTAAATACTGAAACTGCGAAAAGGGGATGGAGAAATTATGATAAATGATAAGATGTTTACCTGTAATTCTCTTTTTTCACCTCACTCTGTTTTGTTCTCACAAGGGTTGGTTGAAATATAAATAAATTAAATGACACGTTTTCATTGAAATAAAGTTCATTGAAGGCCATATTATGATAAAATTAAAATGGACATCTGATAGGTCAATATCAATAACTCCATCAAGGAGACAAATCACCAAAGGGGACTTTTCTTTGTAAATGTTGTATCTCATTTACATGTTTAAGAAACCCCATCTAGAAATCACAGCCTGCTCTAGTGCCTGTTTATAAACACAGGGGCATCATTTATTTTACTGCCTCATTTGAATATGATGAATGCCGCAGCCGTTTACGTTTTCACAACAACCAAATAATTGTGGCTCTGAAGACTTGGATACAATGAATGACTCTATTCACTGACTCAGTTTTAGTTTTCAGTGAAGGTTTTATAGTTTATAAGTTGTAAATTATGACATTTCGGTAACTGTTGATTTAGATACAGTGGGGAAAAAAAGTATTTAGTCAGCCACCAATTGTGCAAGTTCTCCCACTTAAAAAGATGAGAGAGGCCTGTAATTTTCATCATAGGTACACGTCAACTATGACAGACAAAATGAGGGAAAAAAATCCAGAAAATCACATTGTAGGATTTTTAATGAATTTATTTGCAAATTATGGTGGAAAATAAGTATTTGGTCAATAACAAAAGTTTCTCAATACTTTGTTATATACCCTTTGTTGGCAATGACACAGGTCAAACGTTTTCTGTAAGTCTTCACAAGGTTTTCACACACTGTTGCTGGTATTTTGGCCCATTCCTCCATGCAGATCTCCTCTAGAGCAGTGATGTTTTGGGGCTGTCGCTGGGCAACACGGACTTTCAACTCCCTCCAAAGATTTTCTATGGGGTTGAGATCTGGAGACTGGCTAGGCCACTCCAGGACCTTGAAATGCTTCTTACGAAGCCACTCCTTTGTTGCCCAGGCGGTGTGTTTGGGATCATTGTCATGCTGAAAGACCCAGCCACGTTTCATCTTCAATGCCCTTGCTGATGGAAGGAGGTTTTCACTCAAAATCTCACGATACATGGCCCCATTCATTCTTTCCTTTACACGGATCAGTCGTCCTGGTCCCTTTGCAGAAAAACAGCCCCAAAGCATGATGTTTCCACACCCATGCTTCACAGTAGGTATGGTGTTCTTTGGATGCAACTCAGCATTCTTTGTCCTCCAAACACGACGAGTTGAGTTTTTACCAAAAAGTTTTATTTTGGTTTCATCTGACCATATGACATTCTCCCAATTCTCTTCTGGATCATCCAAATGCACTCTAGCAAACTTCAGACAGGCCTGGACATGTACTGGCTTAAGCAGGGGGACACGTCTGGCACTGCAGGATTTGAGTCCCTGGCGGCGTAGTGTGTTACTGATGGTAGGCTTTGTTACTTTGGTCCCAGCTCTCTGCAGGTCATTCACTAGGTCCCCCCGTGTGGTTCTGGGATTTTTGCTCACCGTTCTTGTGATCATTTTGACCCCACGGGGTGAGATCTTGCGTGGAGCCCCAGATCGAGGGAGATTATCAGTGGTCTTGTATGTCTTCCATTTCCTAATAATTGCTCCCACAGTTGATTTCTTCAAACCAAGCTGCTTACCTATTGCAGATTCAGTCTTCCCAGCCTGGTGCAGGTCTACAATTTTGTTTCTGGTGTCCTTTGACAGCTCTTTGGTCTTGGCCATAGTGGAGTTTGGAGTGTGACTGTTTGAGGTTGTGGACAGGTGTCTTTTATACTGATAACAACTTCAAACAGGTGCCATTAATACAGGTAACAAGTGGAGGACAGAGGAGCCTCTTAAAGAAGAAGTTACAGGTCTGTGAGAGCCAGAAATCTTGCTTGTTTGTAGGTGACCAAATACTTTTTTTCCACCATAATTTGCAAATAGATTCATTAAAAATCCTACAATGTGATTTTCTGGAAAAAAAATTCTCAATTTGTCTGTCATAGTTGACGTGTACCTATGATGAAAATTACAGGCATCTCTCATCTTTTTAAGTGGGAGAACTTGCACAATTGGTGGCTGACTAAATACTTTTTTTCCCCACTGTACATTATTGTTTCCTCCATTGATCACATCCACACAGTCAAATGGAACTACACAGAATATGCAATAATATAGTTTGAATCGGTGAGTGAATATTGGTATTTGGGGTTTCAAACTATGTATTTCATTCATGGTCTAACACAAAGGGAATGTCACTGTCATTGTGTGGCCATTGGACGATATGGATCCTCTCTGGGGTGACAATGAACTTTGTGAGATGTGTTTCGCTATGAGCTGCCCCCAGGAAAGGGGAGATGACAGGAAGTTGAGTGAGAGGTGCTATCTGACACAACCAACATCCCCTTCAATGCAACCAGAGACGTGATAGCATTAGCTAATAATGTGCACAGACCATTCACTTTCAACACAGACAGACAACCACATACGCAGGCAGACCAGCCTCACACACTGACTAGATAATAATAAACACAACCGTTTATAACCATGCATTTCCAGAGCAAACGATTCAAGAATGAAGCCTATAAACCATGGATCAAAATCAAATTCCATACAGTAAGTTATGTTTGATACGAATGCAGAGTGGAGCCAGGGACTGTGAGACCAAAAGTGTGTGTCACAGACTTTGGGCACTGTGCTATTCATTACTGAAGATAACTACTGCAGCAACAGGTATGGCAGTGTGAATGGACACTAAACACTCCTTGGGTTTTATCACATGGAAGCAGGCTCGCCAACACCCCATGACTAAATAGAGATGAGCAGAGCAAAGGGTAAAAAGATGACACTGTCCAAAAAACGTTTGCAGAGACGATATTGAACACTGTTGTCGAGGTTACTATTTATCTCATGCCAGCCAAGTTGGCACGCACATCTGGTGCCGGGTACTTAGTGCAATTATTTATGATTTCCTCCAAGATTTAAAAGCTCTTCGCCCGGCCTTGTAATGCAGTAACTGATTGCTCTGCTAACGTAATTAAGGAGAGATTATGATGTCCACGTGGCACACCAGATGGTGGCATTCACAGCGATGGGGGAAGACACAACTGGCACACCACTGCACGAGGGCAGTGAGGCGCAGTCAGTCGGAGCAGGCCAGACTCTCCACCAGACGGGAGTAAGAGTCTGAGTGTGTGTATGTGTGTGCATGTTTTTGTGTGTGTATGGTGTAGGGTGATGAAGTATAAGGTGATGGTGAATCATAAGTGAGGCACCCAGAATGTTCCCTAAGGGTTGTGTTGAGTTTGACAACTCTGCATTGGGATGAGAACACAGCCAGTGTGGATTGAGATGGTTAAGAGTGACATTAGACATCAGAGTTGAATCTAATCAGAGTTGAATCTACTCACAGTGAAAGTCTTCTGTCAGACCTAAAAGTGTAATCAAACAAAATACTACTCGGCCTCCAAAACATGTAATTGGTGGATCTAATGAATCTTCTATTGTACCCCTGAATAGCTACACTGTGAACAACCACATTACTGGTGAGACATGTTAGTGTGCTGGTAAGAGGTACACTTTCAATTTATACATTTTAGTGCCAAGAAAACAGATGGCGCCAAAAGAGATTTAAGCACATTTGGCAAAGCCAATGGAGGAGAGAGAACGCATGGAAGATTTGTTATTCAAGGCAACACAGGGCTAGCCCACACTAACCTTTAAACGCGCAGTACAGCAGACAGTTAAGTGCAATGCTGGATCCTTTGGGGGCACTAAGGGTGGGCTTCTTAAAACATGTTATTATAAGCTATTCAGGAGACATGGGGGTTCTTTATGGGCAGACAGAAGAGGGGGAAATTGAATCATATTTGATATGAGACCTGCAGATTTCAACACATCAGCCAGTAATGGGTTCAAGCGGGTGATGGGGGCATTGGGGCACTGTAGATTTCCCAGGTAATAATGGGGATATTAATACCCTCAGTGGTAACAAAGAAATCTCCATCTTTAAAGTCCCCAAACTAGTGTCAGCATATTAGAAAACACAGCAGATGACCTTTACACACAAGGAGGAAAACCCTTGTCATTGGATCAGCAGTGAAACTATGAGGGGGGTTTATCGATGCATATGTTTTTGGATTTGCCATTTCTTTCACTGAACAATTACTGTTCACAGAGTAGTACTTCATAATAATTTTGTGATTTAGCTGATTTTGAGAGATAGCTATCAATAGTGGTGATACATTGTCAAGGCGTCAGTGTAATGCGGTAGGACGAAGTCAGGCGCAGGACACAGAGCTGATCGAAAAACATACTTTATTCATAGGTATCTCAATGAACATACCTCCACGCAGTGAGGAACAAACCCGCTCACATACGACAACCAAAAGATGGACAAACACGCACAACACACAGTGAGAGCCAGAGGGTTAAATAGGGAAGACATAATTACATAATGGGAAACAGGTGAGACCAATACAGACAAAACAAGTAGAACATAGAAACATGGATCGGTAGCAGCTAGTACTCCGGTGACGACGAACGCTGAAGCCTGCCCGAGCAAGGAGGAGGGGCAGCCTCGGCTGAATTCGTGACATACATTAATGTGAAGTCATTGCTGATCAGTCAATCCCAGCTACTGCAAAAATGGGGACCAAAATTACAGTTTGATATGGTAATTAAATTATATAGCATGGACCAGAGTAATAAGAGTGCCATAAATAAAGAGCATGAACAAAGGGGTCTGGGTAGAACCCCTGCCTCATGCCATCTGTAAGGCTCTGCATACTTTCTACATGTGCACTGCTCCCCCACAGAATCTGCCATAGCCATCATTCATCTTACCCCAAAATCCTCAGCGTGTGATGTGGCGCACATTAAAAACACTGTAACAGCTGATGGCTTTCACAGTTAGCATGTGTTCCTGATACCTTGAGACCTTTGCACTGAGCATTTCATCACCTTTTCCATAATTACTTACCATTACTTTAACAGGTGCACCTCTCTTCCTCAGACTGCACATATTTTTTTTTCTCTTATACCTGAGATTTTATTTGAGCAACTTAGCCTTGCTGCAAAATCTATCTGAAGTGAAAATGCCTGTTTCTTGGGGGTTGTTGAAACTTCCTGGTGTGAGATTGGGGGGGGAAAGCTGACAAAACAACACTAGCATAAAGCTGTACATACTGTATAAGAAGAGGGATGTGTGTGATCATTGGTGTGATCTAGCTAGCACAATCATTTGGATCTCTCTGTCAGCATGCATCCCGTAGTTGGGACATAGAGAGAGTAGGACAAAAGGGTTTAGTAGTCTGGGAGCTGAACCGGTGTACGTTGTCTGACTGATGTATCTTGAGGCTTTTTAGTGCTGGTGTTCTGCCACCCTGACACAGTCATGCTCGGTCTCAACGACGACTGCCATTACTCTCTCATTGACGCACTCTGCTCCTATGAGCTATTGGCATTGACTCATTGTCAGTTTGTCATGAATAATGATGAGCATAAGAGGTCTCATTACCTTATTATGTTCATTAAATCTTGTTTAGTTCCTGTGTGCTTGATCTCATTGTGCGTTATTAACTCAAATAGGATGTTCGGTATGTAACAGATGCTTTTACCGTATTTCTTGCTCACAAGCACATTGCTCTCTGTACAGTTCTTAACTAGTTCCTAGAAATGACAGGCCTGAATCAATCAGCGTTATGGCCCTGTGTTCACGCCATTACAATATGCAGATTGATGTATTCTTATACCACTCAATTGGCTGCAACATAATTTGTTCCATCCCACTGTGTTCCAGTATGGCTGTTTCAACTTCTATTGTTACGGTTTCATTGTAGAAAGTGCTTGGGTGGGATTACAGCCTGTTTATTTCTATGCTTGACTTGGCTGAATGGTTTTCATCATATGAATGGTGAAAAGGGATCAATGTGGCCATAAGAATAAATTAAAACCTGTTAACTCTGCCCAAAGCACAAATACAGTACATGACAGGAAGACACTAGAGACGACTGGAGAAGCAGGAAATCATTAGGCCTAAACCTTGACAAGAAAATATTAACATAGAGCACACCTCCAATTATGTGCAGGCCCTATCTGATGTAATTATTATCCACAATACGATGGGTAGCCCTACAACAATTCTAGGACTCTGGGAGAAGTAGGCTTACATGCAATTTCGACAAGCTTGTCTACTTAGATAGAAAAAAACGATTTAATATGTTCTTCTATCATCATCAGATGAATGCCTGAAATGGGTCTTCCCAAGGTCCTTCCAAAAGCATGGGGCAAGATTATGTGTTAGGTAAGATAGACCCATGGAGATAGGCCGAGCCTATTTTTTTAAATACATTTTTTTTTCACCTTTATTTAACCAGGTAAGCCAGTTGAGAACAAGTTCTCATTTACAACTGCGACCTGGCCAAGATAAAGCAAAGCAGTGCGATAAAAACAACAACACAGAGTTACATATGGGGTAAACAAAACATAAAGTCAAAAATACAACAGAAAATATATATACAGTGTGTGCGAATGTAGTAAGTTATGGAGGTAAGGCAATAAATAGGCCATAGTGCAAAATAGTTAAAATTTCGTATTAACACTGGAATGATAGATGTGCAAATGATGATGTGCAAATATAGATACTGGGGTGCAAATTAGCAAAATAAATAACAATATGGGGATGAGGTAGTTGGGTGGGCTAATTTCAGAATGGCTGTGTACAGGTGCAGTGATCGGTAAGCTGCTCTGACAACTGACGCTTAAAGTTAGTGAGGGAGATAAGAATCTCCAGCTTCAGAGATTCTTGCAGTTCGTTCCAGTCATTGGCAGCAGAGAACTGGAAGGAATGGCGGCCAAAGGAGGTGTTGGCTTTGGTGACCAGTGAGATATACCTGCTGGAGCGCAGACTACGGGTGGGTGTTGCTATGGTGACCAGTGAGCTAAGATAAGACGGGGATTTGCCAAGCAGTGATTTATAGATGACCTGGAGCCAGTGGGTTTGGCGACAAATATGTAGTGAGGGCCAGCCAACAAGAGCGTACAGGTCACAATGGTGGGTAGTATATGGGGCTTTGCTGACAAAACGGATGGCACTGTGATAGACTACATCCAATTTGCTGAGTAGAGTGTTGGAGGATATTTTGTAAATGACATCGCCGAAGTCAAGGATCGGTAGGATAGTATGTTTTACGAGGGCATGTTTGGCAGCATGAGTGAAGGAGGCTTTGTTGCAAAATAGGAAGCCGATTCTAGATCTAACTTTTGATTGGAGATGCTTAATGTGAGTCTGGAAGGAGAGTTTACAGTCTAACCAGACACCTAGGTATTTGTAGTTGTCCACATACTCTAGGTCAGACCCGCCGAGAGTAGTGATTCTAGTCGGGTGGGCGGGTGCAAGCAGCGTTCGGTTGAAGAGCATGCATTTAGTTTTGCTAGTGTTTAAGAGCAGTTGGAGGCTACGGAAGGAGTGTTGTATGGCGTTGAAGCTCGTTTGGAGGTTTGTTAACACAGTGTCCAATGAAGGGCCAGATGTATACAAAATGGTTGTCGTCCGCATAGAGGTGGATCCGAGCGTCACCAGCAGCAAGAGCGACATCATTGATATACACAGAGAATACCAGGGATGGGTAACTTTGATGGGGGTGGGGGCCACAAAAAACCTGAACTCATCATGAGGGGCTGCAATTGCTTGCAGGTGTGCATACTCACATATGCATTTTTACGTTTTAAAGTTGCAATTCTAAACATTTTGCTATGGGGCGTAGAGAAAATGTTGCAGTTTTAAAGCTATTTTCAAGCAATTCTACTCGTTTTGTCATACGGTGGAGAGAAATGTTTGCAGTTTTTAATATGATATCTGAATGAGACCGACTAACACAATCAATGGGGGCCCCACGGCCGGTAATTCGACCATGATTACTATGTCTAGATAGCTGGCCCCTAGACTAACCAATAATAATAATACATAGTTGACATGGGCTAATTGAGTGACAGTCAGTGACTCACATATAAAGAGAATACCTGCTGATGCACAACCAGGCCGCCAGTTGCCCATCCCTGACCTACACTGACTGAACTGATTGCAAATGACTATTGCAGGTTGGATTGTGACACCAAACCATACTGTCAACTCACAGGACAAGTCAAATTCCAACATGTCAATGAGACTAGACTAGTGAATCAATGGCTACGCTAGATGCTCGCATGCAATATTAATGGGAGAAGGGAGAAAAAAAAGTTTCACCGTCTCTGGTTGTAGTTAATTATTTCTTAACCATGATAACATTCCCAGAAGAACATTGACACTGGCTCTGTAGTGAAAGACACGAGCAGTACCATCAAAGGATCCACAGCAGGACGACATTTAAAACAATTGACCAAGGTAAGAATTACAGGCCTACCTGTCTATCACACTCCGTCCCCCTCTGTCCTATTCCATATGGCAGGTACACTTGACAGTTTTTCCAGGCGTTCTCATTCTGTGGTAAGAATCCCAGTTGCAGGCTGGTCCATTCATGAAAGTTGACACACGTTTGAAAAAACTGTAAATCGCAATCCATCTGGGTAATCATGCTCTCGAAATGGAAATGAGAATGTTTGACAGGAATATTGCTCACCGATAATAGGCTACATAGAATACATAGACAATGTATCCTTTAGTTTATCTATCTAATTTTTCTTACTTACTTTTTTAAAACTGCATTGTTGGTTAAGGGCTCGTAAGTAAGCATTTAACGGTAAGGTCTACACCTGTTGTATTCGGCGCATGTGACAAATAAAATATGATTTGATTTGATGAATGTAATGTTGCTCTCATAAAATGTCTTTGAGCATTTTGGAGATAGGCTCTATGCTTTAAACAGTGTCTACATATGTGAAAAAAACGCATTTTTATGACCTGTGGTTAAAAAGATAAGAAGAAAAGGTTTAAAAAATGCTTCTCTGTGACTACACAAGGTAAGATTAAAAGTTAATAAACAGTAATTTCCAAAACCTGTAATGAGTTTCTAGCCAGAGGGAGGGTATTTTCTTGCTCCCCACGCAACCACAAATCTCATAGTGTTTCAAAATCACTGTTTTAAAATGTTTTAACTTTTGATGATGTCATCAGGTTGAACTTTTTTAACTGTATCTTTTTTTTCTACAGTTCTACAAAAGTTCAGTTCATATAAGGAAATCAGTCAACTGAAATAAATTCATTAGGCCTTAATCTATGGATTTCACATGACTGGGAATACAGATATGCATCTGTTGGTCACAGATACCTGGTAGGGGTGTGGATCAGAAAACCAGTCAGTATCTGGTGTGACCACCATTTGCCTCATGCAGCATGACATATCTCCTTCACATAGAGTTGATCAGGCTGTTGATTGTGGCCTGTGGAATGTTGTCCCACTCCTCTTCAATGGCTGTGCGAAGTTGCTTGATATTGTCGGGAACTGGAACACGTTGTCTTACACGCCAATTCAGAGCATCCTAAACATGCTCAATGGGTGACATGTCTGGTGAGTATGCAAGCCATGGAAGAACTCTGAAATTGTCAGCTTCCAGGAATTGTATACAGATCCTTGCAACATGAGGCCGTGCATTATTATGCTGAAACTTGAGGTGACGGTGGCGGATGAATGGCACGACAATGGGCCTCAGGATCTCATCACGGTATCTCTGTGCATTTGATCAAATGCAATTGTGTTTGTCTGTACCTTATGCCTACCCATACCATAACCCCACTACTACCAACTTGGGGCACTCTGTTCACAACGACGAGCAGGCAGATGAGCCGGTTTCTGACAGTTTGTGCAGAAATTATTCAGTTGTGCAAACACACAGTTTCATCAGCTGTCCGTGTGGCTGGTATCAGATGGTCCCGCAGGTGAAGAAGCTGGATGTTTAGGTCCTGGGCTGGCGTGGTTACACGTGGTCTGTGGTTGTGAGCCCGTGGAAGTACTGCCAAATTCTCTAAAACGACGTTGGAGGCGGCTTATGGTAGAGAAATTAACATTCATTATCTGGCAACAGCTCTGGTGGACATTCCTGCAGTTGGCATGCCAGTTGCACACTCCCTCAAAACTTGAGACATCTGTGTTATTGTGTTATGTGACAAAACTGCACATTTTAGAGTGGCCTTATATTGTCCCCAGCACAAGGTGCACCTGTGTAATGATCATGCTGTTTAATCAGCTTGTTGATATGCCACACCTGTCAGGTGGATGGATTATCTTGGCAAAGGAGAAATGCTCATTAACAGGGATGTAAACAAATGTGTGCACAATACTGTATTTGAGAGAAATAAGCTTTTTGTGCGTATGGAAAATATCTGGGATTTTCAATTTCAGCTCATGAAACATGTGACCAACACTTTACATGTTGCATTTATATTTTTGTTCAGTATAAATGTGTGTCACAGATTTACATACAGAATAATACGAATTGTCCTGAGACCACGTTGGAAATCCATAATTTGTAATAAAACTTTTGTCAAATTCAATCACGTATTGTGTACTTGTTTCTGTTTCTCTAATATGGCAACTCAGAGGGAATACGCATTTGCCAATTGAATTACAGATTACGTAATGTAGAGCCATTTTACACAGGACAAACATAGGTACATGGTAAGGGTTTAAGATTTTACAGCGACTCGATGTAGTCAGAGTTCCAGTCTGCCCACCCTCATCGCTACTCAACTCTCTTGTACTTGTACAGTGGGGAAAAAAGTATTTAGTCAGCCACCAATTGTGCAAGTTCTCCCACTTAAAAAGATGAGAGAGGCCTGTAATTTTCATCATAGGTACACGTCAACTATGACAGACAAATTGAGAAAAAAAAAATCCAGAAAATCACATTGTAGGATTTTTAATGAATTTATTTGCAAATTATGATGGAAAATAAGTATTTGGTGAATAACAAAAGTTTCTCAATACTTTGTTATATACCCTTTGTTGGCAATGACACAGGTCAAACGTTTTCTGTAAGTCTTCACAAGGTTTTCACACACTGTTGCTGGTATTTTGGCCCATTCCTCCATGCAGATCTCCTCTAGAGCAGTGATGTTTTGGGGCTGTCGCTGGGCAACACAGACTTTCAACTCCCTCCAAAGATTTTCTATGGGGTTGAGATCTGGAGACTGGCTAGGCCACTCCAGGACCTTGAAATGCTTCTTACGAAGCCACTCCTTCGTTGCCCGGGCGGTGTGTTTGGGATCATTGTCATGCTGAAAGACCCAGCCACGTTTCATCTTCAATGCCCTTGCTGATGGAAGGAGGTTTTCACTCAAAATCTCACGATACATGGCCCCATTCATTCTTTCCTTTACACGGATCAGTCGTCCTGGTCCCTTTGCAGAAAAACAGCCCCAAATATGTTTCCACCCCCATGCTTCACAGTAGGTATGGTGTTCTTTGGATACAACTCAGCATTCTTTGTCCTCCAAACACGACGAGTTGAGTTTTTACCAAAAAGTTTTATTTTGGTTTCATCTGACCATATGACATTCTCCCAATCCTCTTCTGGATCATCCAAATGCACTCTAGCAAACTTCAGATGGGGCTGGACATGTACTGGCTTAAGCAGGGGGACACGTCTGGCACTGCAGGGTTTGAGTCCCTGGCGGCATAGTGTGTTACTGATGGTAGGCATTGTTACTTTGGTCCCAGCTCTCTGCAGGTCATTCACTAGGTCCCCCCGTGTGGTTCTGGGATTTTTGCTCACCGTTCTTGTGATCATTTTGACCCCACGGGGTGAGATCTTGCGTGGAGCCCCAGATCGAGGGAGATTATCAGTGGTCTTGTATGTCTTCCATTTCCTAATAATTGCTCCCACAGTTGATTTCTTCAAACCAAGCTGCTTACCTATTGCAGATTCAGTCTTCCCAGCCTGGTGCAGGTCTACAATTTTGTTTCTGGTGTCCTTTGACAGCTCTTTGGTCTTGGCCATAGTGGAGTTTGGAGTGTGACTGTTTGAGGTTGTGGACAGGTGTCTTTTATACTGATAACAACTTCAAACAGGTGCCATTAATACAGGTAACGAGTGGAGGACAGAGGAGCCTCTTAAAGAAGAAGTTACAGGTCTGTGAGAGCCAGAAATCTTGCTTGTTTGTAGGTGACCAAATACTTATTTTCCACCATAATTTGCAAATAAATTCATTAAAAATCCTACAATGTGATTTTCTGGAGAAAAAAAATCTCAATTTGTCTGTCATAGTTGACGTGTACCTATGATGAAAATTACAGGCCTCTCTCATCTTTTTAAGTGGGAGAACTTGCACAATTGGTGGCTGACTAAATACTTTTTTCCCCCACTGTATATGGAGAGTTGAGATTTTCTCAGCTAGCCCTAGTTCTAACCCAGACTGTCTCCATCACACAAGTGCATTTGCATGTGACAATTTGATGGGATGCATTATTGAATTTGCTCTATTGTTTACATTTTTGTTGGTGGCCCAGTCTTTGCTGTGTGCACATCTTACAGAGTGTGGCTTAATGGCAGTTTGCCTCCAACCACTATGCTGCAGTTAGGAAAAGCTAGATTGATTAGTGCACAAATTAACATTCTCCCTCCCTAAACTAATTTGCTGTCCTGGATCTATTTCATTAATAAGTCCATCCAACTAACATTTCTAAAATAAATGGCTATTCCTGTGGTAAATCTACCAAATTCAATAACCTTAATTACAATAAATTCAGTAAACATTTAGATGGAATACAGTAACTGTGTCACTTACCCCACTAGGATGCTTTAAACATAATTTAATAAAATGGCAAAGGAACCTCTGCAAAGCCACTTAACCTTGTAAAAGCCTTGCATACACATTACGCTATAGCTTCTTTAGACAGGAATAGATAACAATTGATCTGGATTTTCTTGCAAATATGTGATCAGTCCATCTAAGTTGTTATTGGGTGACTTCACTGGGTCGCCCTTAATTGCTTTTTGTCATGCTGGTCTCACTTGTCATTCGATGCAAAGCTCAGAGGCCACTTTTTCTTTTGGATCCCAAGAAGCCGACAGATGTCAATATTGGGGGATACTAATCATTCTGGCAAAGAGAAACATCTTTATGGGTTTAGTCATGATGTAGTATGCTTTACTCCAAAATATATGAGCTGTGCTGTAGCTCAAAATCTTCTGTCCAGAAAGGCCATTGTCAAGTCTGCCCTTATACAGCATTGGACTACATGCAGCACTATGGGAAAGACCCTTATAAGAGAGAGAAAAGTGTTTTTGAAATAGTTCAATACATGGAAATGGAGATTGTTGACTCAGAAGCTAATATTCTAGTCCTCTTCTCCCAGATGTTCACCTGTGTTGCACATATGTTTTGTGAGGGAGTGAAGGCACTATTACTTATATTACTAGCATCCCAGTAAGGCCCTGAAATAAACTTTGCTGTCTCTCCAGAGGTCCAGCATGATGCCTGAGGTACAGGAACTGTCTGAGGCTCTGCCTGACCTGAACACAGAGCCCATCACTGGAGTTGTTGTGGTGGCGTGCCGAAGCAAGGCACCTGCTGAATACTATGTTGTGAGTAACTTTTCATAGCTTTTTTCATCAATCATTCTTTTAGATTGAGGATTCATAAGCATATAGCTTATCATGGAATATAAATGCATTTTACCATACTTCGCACAGCATTTTCCACTTACTTTGAATTCAACCTCATTTGTAGGCAAATAAATTACATTATGCATATGTTGTGAAGCAGATGCAGTAGGATTTATGCAATATTATTTATGCATAAATTCTATATATTTTGTAATTAGTGATTAATCAAAACCATGCAGGGCTTTATTAATATTACATTTTTGGGGAACTCAGTCGGGGTCTCAACTTACTGTTGAGAGTTAGAATAGTAGAATACAGAGGTGCATTTTGTTATGTCAGTCACTGACAGTCACTCAATTAGCCTATGTTAGCTAACATTTTGTAGATTGGTAAATTAATCTAGCCAGCTTTCTAAACTGGTTGTAATCATGGTCGAATTACCGACCGGGCACGCAGGGCACGTGCCCAGGGGCCCTGACCTCCAGAGGGCCCCCATTGATTTTGTTAGTCACTCTCACTCAGATATCATATTAAAGCATGGCAAAATGTGTAGAATTGGCACCGCTCAGGGCCCCTAAAAGGCTAGGGCAGGCCCTGAAACCATGTTCTTAATAACATTGTTGTATTGTTGTGGATTCTTCAATATTGTCTTTGGAGGGTAGCCATGAAGCACTTGGGCATGCACTTGGCTAGCACTTGTGAGTTTTGTTGAGTTTTTTGTGAGAGGAATTGAGTAACTAACTAATTCATGCAGTTTACTTTGATGATGGAGATAATTACTGTAGGCCTATTTGTTGCCATTAGTCTTTCAGCCTTACCAGAGGCTATGGTTTAACAACCTTTGGTGGATGCCCCCCACTGTTCTGGCACTGTGTCCCCATGTTTGTTGAACACTCTCACAGTGAAGAGGGGTTGCCGGCTGTTTGGCACCCCAGCAAGTTTGAACAATCTGGTTGAGAGAGAGAGGAAAGTAGGACAGCGATATCACTGGCCCATGGGAGCCATGTTTGTATTTGTGAAAGAGTGAGAAGAGAGAGAGAGAGATGGAGAGAGGAATGTGTTTTGTGAATTTAACAAAGCACAAAGCAAACACAGTGATATAGCCTGGAGTGGGCTCAAGGGCAGATCTCTATTCTTTTTCTTTCTCTACCCTCTCTTTTTTCTTTTTCCTTCCTCTCATCCCCTTCTCACTCTTCCTGCCCCACCCCACACAGCCCAACGGTTGTAATCTCTGGTGGGTGTTGGTGGGTTGGCATTGTGACGGTGCTTTGCCTACTGGCATTGGGACTCCATGCATACCACATGACAGTGAATGAGAATGACACTTCCTGCTTGGTTTCTTCAGTTGGAAAGATCCCTATGTTGTTACTGAAGGGAGTGGAGGTGTTGCTTCGCTTTGGTAGTCTGGTTATGTCAATGTTTAGTCATGTTCTTCTACTGTTCATGTTATATTCTAGGCCTACTTTGGTTGCTTCCTTTTTCTGAATTAATCTTCAACGATGACTACTTTTAAGAAATACGTTTTATGCCGTAGATCAATGAGCAGATTAACTATTTTGCTCTCCACTACGGTGCACTCACATCTCTGAACTTGAACAGGTTTTTCCTACACAAGAGAGCAGGCCCAGATCAAACAGTGTTCCACAGGGATCAGGAGCATTGCTCAAGCTGCAGCAGCCACCCCACATCAAACAGCTTAAGCAGGCACTGACACAGACACTTAGGGCGGCAAAGGGAAGCTGTGTGTAATTCAAATTTGCCTGAGCCTATAACATACTACCCTCATGAACACATTAACATACGTTTATTTGAAGGAGAGTGGCGCTAGCCTGAGATCTGAGCCCACTGTAATTGGCTAGGACCTCCGCTGAATTGGTTTACCAACCTCAGATGGGTACGGTTAATCGATTAATCGAATATTCAAACGGACGTTAGTATTCGATAACTACAGTGAGTTAGTTTTCTTTCTAAAGAAATGTGGGCCTATATTAACAATCAAAAAGCTTTGTCTCAATTACATTTTAATTATCATTTTGACATTGTTACCTACAAGATATACCATGACATTTTAAATTCTTAATTTAATAAAACAACCGATTTTTGAATGTAGTTTTTATAATGGTGCATTGAGCAGTCTGTTTGCTGTTTACCGCTGCGATGTGCATTTGCGTCATTTTGATTGGTCAAGAAAGTCAAGAGCATTTTTTAAATGTATTTAGTGTATCTGGATATCCAAAACTGTCATTATATTATTTGAATATTAAAATAATTTCAAATGCCCATCCCTAGTAGCAGTTGCCTTTCATCTGCTTCTTAGGGCTCTCTCTCATTATAACCTCAATGACGTTCTCTGTCTTTTGAGATTTGTCATAGGAAATACCAGTACTCCCAATAGACTTACCTATTCCATGGCAGATTTTCATCATTTTCATTTGTACAGAGTTTGGGAATCAGCAGTTGGATCTATCAGTCAATCAGACAACTTTATATGTGTACATGAACATCTAACTGACAAGATCAGATTTAAAAGATTGATTTAAAGTCAGATCCTGTGATTCCTTGATCTTCAGACTTTTCATGCAGCAGAAACACTTCCAGCAATGAGCCTGTTGGAAGATGGGAGACACATTACAGTAGATAGTAGAAAGAAAATAGAGAGCAAGTGCACCAAAACGTTACCCTGCCTCTCCCTCTGCGGCTCTGCGGGTGGCAATTCACATTCTGGGCGCGTCGCCCCCTGCTGCCGGAGCTATGGCAGGATGACGCCTGAGGTGCCTCCTAGGAGCGCTGTGCCCTCGTTACTCCCTTGCTTGACTTTGGGTTTCACACAGCCAGCCCTTTGTTTACGCTGACAGGATGCACTGGCTACTGACCTGGAAAAAGTGGCCAAGACGGGTTGTCTTGTAAGGAGGTGGGGGCTTCTGGTGATGTATGGGCTCCTCATGGGACTTATCACTGCGCCCGCTGGAGATGCCTGCATCTCTCTCTTTTTCTCTCTCCCACTCTCACTTTCTCTCTCTCCTTTTCTCTCTCTCCTTTTCTCTCTCTCTTTTCCTCTCTCTCTTTTTTTCTCTCTCTCTCTCTCACACTCTCTCTCTCTCATCCCCTCTAGTCACTGGTGGTTTTGCATAAGTCTCTCCCTGCCATGTTTTCCACAGCCAATCGCTAGGGTCATTCATCATTATTGTCAGGGTGGTAATGTGTGTGGGTGGGGGCAGAGATCCAGAACTTCTTTGTTTGAATGAACCTCATTAAATTGAATCGTCTTTGTAAAGGATCCTCTCTGAGAATAAGTCTGGCAGTCATTTTGGTGATTTACCGACGATGGCCAATGTAACATGACGCTTCAGCCAAGCTTGTTTTCTGGTAGCTATGGAGAAATGTCTGACTCACTCATGTGGAGGAAGTTTTGGCTTTATCATTGTTGAGTGCATGCACACTTATAGATGTGCTGCCCACACTGTCCTTCATAGCCTTTTCTATGATATGCCTGGGCTCTTGTGCATTATGTTGCCACATCCGAATACACCATACACTGTAAGTCCTCAATGCAGCCGGCTTATTCAGGCATTATTTTATTTTTCATCCAAATAATATCTCCCCATCCGCATCAGGATCTTTTAGGAGCACAATGAAGTTTGTTTTTCCTTATTAGAGCAGATCTTTGTCAGGTTTTATTTAATCAGCCCCATTCCAGGGGAGGATATTTTCAGCCACCTATTTGGAGGCTAAGGCTCCTTCTTTACCCACACAGGGCACTAATGAGATGGAGCGCTAGAGCAGGCAACCGTTAATTAAGGAAAGTTTGCAAGAGAAGAGGCAAAAAGCAACACGCTCACACCGTACATACATTAACTTTATCCCACCTCATGCATGTTCTTCCCCCCTTGTTGTTTTTTTTCGTCCTTTTTTCACGTAGGTTGCACAAACAACAGATGGTTCCGAAGCCAACCTGTGGAAGGACGGCTTATTCAAATCCAAGGTCACCCGCTACCTCTGTTTCACCAGAGATAATGTAAGTGGAAATGTAAACTTCTCAATTTCCCTATGCATCATGCAATAACACCTCATCCCTAACACCTTTTTTGGCACTGGTTTGCTTGGTTTGCTCTCTCTAGCATTCTCCTGTGCAGCACTTTGATAATTGAAAGTTCAATGAATTTTAAATGTCTGTTTTATTTTTATGAATGTAAATACCAATATAAACTTTTGATTATGTGATTGCATTTCTATTATTTATGTGTGATACCTTGGTGGGCTCTTGGGATTATATTGTTGATGTTCTTGTGTCCACCAGAGAGGGAGATTTATGATTATTCATAGTATTACAAGCTTCTATTTAAACTATTTCACTTTTTCCAATTAACCTTGACCCTGTCGAGAATTTGGATACCTCCCAGTGATTCTTCAACTATGATGCACACATCAAAATGTTGTTCCCTTTATAAGAAATTACACTTCAAAAGGCCAGTTCAATATGGTTGGAAATGGGGCACCTATTTAAAATAACAGTAATAACTTATTTGTTAATTGCGCTCTCTTTGAATGTTCTCTACATATCAACTGGTAGGCACATTTTCATGGTATTTTTTTTACACTTAAGATTTGAGAACAGAGAACAGTGATTATCCTGCTATAAAGCCTACAGCAGATTTGATAAGTTACCATTGAATAGAAAAACACTGTGTATCATTAGTATTCACCCCCCTTGGACTTTTTTCCACATTTTATTGTGTGCATGCAACAAGGCACTAAAGTTATACTGCAAGAAAACACGGCAAAGGAATACCATTTTTGCCCTAAATGCAAAGCTTTATGTTTGGGGCAAATCCAACACAACACATCACTGAGTACTACTCTCCATATTTTCAAGCATGATGTTGGCTGCATCATGGGATGGGTATGCTTGACATCGGCAAAGACTGGGAAGTTTTTCAGGATAAATAGAAATGGGATGGAGCAAAACACAGGCAGAATACTGGAAGAAAACCTTCTTCAGTCTGCTTTACACCAGACACTGGGAGAGGAATTAACATTCCAGCAGGACAATAACCTAAAACACAAGGCCAAATCTAGCTTACCAAGAAGACAGTGAATGTTTCTGAGTGGCCAAGTTACAGCTTTGACTTAAATCTGTGTCACACCCTGGCTCTGGGACTCATTATGTTGAGCCAGGGTGTGTTCATTCTATGTGTTTATTTTCTATGTTGGTAATTCTGTTGTGTTTAATTCTATGTTTGCCTGAGTGACTCCCAATCAGAGGCAACGAGTGTCAGCTGTTGGCTGGTTGTCTCTGATTGGGAGCCATATTTAAACTGTCTGTTTTCCCTTTGTGTTTGTGGGTTTTTGTTCCGTGTTCGGTCATTGATACCGTGGACGTCACGAGTCGTTTCTTGTTTTGTATTCATGTTTAAACTTTAACTAATTAAAGTATGTTTGTTCATCACGCTGCGCCTTGGTCTACTCCTTACCTCGATCGTGACAGAAAAACCCACCATGCAACGACCAAGCAGCGTGTCCAGGGGCAGCCCTTGGGCTGGACATGGGAGGAAGCGCCGGGAAAGGCCCTGGCGAAAGAGGAGCAGCGTGTCCAGGAGCAGGCAGCCTGGACATGGGAGGAGATATTGGACGGTAAAGGGTCCTGGACTTGGGGGGAAATCCTGGCCGGGATGGATCGCCGGCCATGGAGTGAGACAGTGGAGAGGCGACGGAGAGAGGAGCAACGGCGTGATCAGGGTCGTCGTCGGACGGTCGAGAGGCAACCCCAGACATTTTTTAGGGGGGGGCACACGGCATGGACGACGGGGCTGACGGAGGCAAAAAAGGGGCGGATCCAGAAGGCCACCAGGCCAGGGGTACACCGCCCTGTACGTCCTGTGCGGATGCCTCACACAGAGTGTGTGAGGGTAGGCATTCAGCCAGGACGGGTTGTGGCCGCTCTTCACTCCAGGCCTCCTATCTGTCTCCACAGCCCGGTTCGGCCTGTCCCTGCTCCACGCACCAAGCCTACGGTGTGCGTCGCCAGCCCAGTCTGGCCTGTCCCTGCTCCACGCACCAAGCCTACGGTGTGCGTCGCCAGCCCAGCCCGACCTGTCCCTGCTCCACGCACCAAGCCTACGGTGCGCGTCGCCAGCCCGGCCCGGCCTGTTCCTGCCACTCGCACCAAGCCTACGGTGCGCGTCGCCAGCCCAGCCCGGCCTGTCCCTGCTTCACGCACCAAGCCTACGGTGTGCGTCGCCAGCCCAGTCTGGCCTGTCCCTGCTCCACGCACCAAGCCTACGGTGTGCGTCGCCAGCCCAGCCCGACCTGTCCCTGCTCCACGCACCAAGCCTACGGTGCGCGTCGCCAGCCCGGCCCGGCCTGTTCCTGCCACTCGCACCAAGTATACGGTGCGCGTCGCCAACCCGGCCCGGCTTGTTCCTTTCACTCGCACCAAGTATACGGTGCGCGTCGCCAGCCCGGCCCGGCCTGTTCCTGCCACTCGCACCAAGTAAACGGTGCGCGTCGTCAGCCCGGCCCGGCCTGTTCCTGCCACTCGCACTAAGCCAGGGGTGCGAGAAGTCAGCCTGGTAAGGCCCGTTCCTCCTCCATGCACCAAGCCAGGGGTGCGAGTCGTCAGCCTGGTAAGGCCCGTCCCTCCTCCACGCACCGAGCCAGGGGTGCGCGTCGTCAGCCTGGTAAGGCCCGTTCCTCCTCCACGCACCAAGCCAGGGGTGCGCGTCGTCAGTCCAGCACAACCCGTGCCTGGGTCACCGGTGCCTGGTAAAGTACCGGTCAACTGCTCCACTATGGAGCTGAAGCTAACCGCTCCTGCTAAGTCCAGTTCGGCTCCAGCCGGCGGGGCCAGACTCGACCAGGGGCGCTATGGGGGGTGTATTGGAGGGTGGTGGTCAAGGCCGGAGCCAGAACCGCCGCCGAGGAGGTATGCCCGCCCAGCCCTCCCCTGTTTTGTTTAGTTGAGGCGCGGTCGCAGTCCGCGCCTTTAGGGGGGGGTACTGTCACACCCTGGCTCTGGGACTCATTATGTTGAGCCAGGCTGTGTTCATTCTATGTGTTTATTTTCTATGTTGGTAATTCTGTTGTGTTTAATTCTATGTTTGCCTGAGTGACTCCCAATCAGAGGCAACGAGTGTCAGCTGTTGGCTGGTTGTCTCTGATTGGGAGCCATATTTAAACTGTCTGTTTTCCCTTTGTGTTTGTGGGTTTTTGTTCCGTGTTCGGTCATTGATACCGTGGACGTCACGAGTCGTTTCTTGTTTTGTATTCATGTTTAAACTTTAACTAATTAAAGTATGTTTGTTCATCACGCTGCGCCTTGGTCTACTCCTTACCTCGATCGTGACAATCTGCTTGAAAATCAATGGTAAGACTTGAAAATTGTGTTCTAGCCATGACCCCTAACACCTTGACAGAGCTTTAAGAATTTGAAAAGTAAAATGGGCAAATATTGCACAATACAGGTGTGCAAATCTCTTAGAGTGAGAAGACTCAAGCTCTAATTGCTGCCAAAGGTGTTTCTAACATGAATTAAGGGGGGTGAATGCTTATCTAATCAAGGAGTATTAGTTACATAAAATGTAACAGTGTTTAACTATATACTATCTATGCTTACTATGCTGTCGTTTTTAAACCTAAACGTAAAGAATTTGAACAAATTCAGATAAATACACTACCGGTCAAAAGTTTTAGAACACCTACTCATTCAAGGGTTTTTCTTTATTTTTACTATTTTCTACATTGTGTAATAATAGTGAAGACATCAAAACTATGAAATAACACATATGGAATCATGTAATAAGATTCTAGCCAGTCTTTGCCTTGATGACAGCTTTGCACACTCTTGGCATTCCCTCAACCAGCTTTACATGGAATACTTTTCCAACAGTCTTGAAGCAGTTCCCACATATGCTGAGCACTTGTTGGCTGCTTTTCCTTCACTCTGCGGTCCGACTCCTCGCAACCATCTAAATTTGGTTGAGGTCGGGGGAATGTGGAGGCCAGGTCATCTGATGCAGCACTCTCCTTCTTGGTCAAATAGCCCTTACACAGCCTGGAGCTGTGTTGGGTCATTGTCCTGTTGAAAAACAAATGATAGTCCCACTAAGCGCAAACCAGATGGGATTGCATATTGCTGCAGAATGCTGTGGTAGCCATGCTGGTTAAGTGTGCTTTGAATTCTAAATAAATCACAGACAGTGTCACCAGCAAAGCACCCCCACACCATAACACCTCCTCCTCCATGCTTTACGGTGGGAAATACACATGCGGAGATCATCCGTTCACCCACACCGCGTCTCACAAAGACACGGCGGTTGGAACCAAAAATCTCAAATTTGGACTGCAGATCAAATGACACATTTCCACCGGTCTAATGTCCATTGCTCGTGTTTCTTGGCTCAAGCAAGTCTCTTCTTCTTATTGGTGTCCTTTAGTAGTGGTTTCTTTGCAACAATTTGACCATGAAGGCCTGATTCACACAGTCTCCTCTGAACACATGTTGAGATGTGTCTGTTACTTGACCTCTGTGAAGCATTTATTTGGGCTGCAATGTCTGAGGCTGGTAACTCTAATGAACTTATCCTCTGCAGCAGAGATAACTCTGGGTCTTTCATTCCTGTGGCGGTCAACATGAGAGCGAGTTTCATCATAGAGCTTGATGGTTTTTGCGACTGCAGTTGAATAAACTTTCAAAGTTCTTGAAATGTTCTGTATTGACTGACCTTCATTTCTTAAAGTAATGTTGGACTGTCAATTCTTTTTGCATATTTGAGCTGTTCTTGCCATGATATGGACTTGGTCTTTTACCAAATAGGGCTATCTTCTATATAGCCCCCCCTACCTTGTCACAACACATTTTACATTTACATTTACAGTGAGGGAAAAAAGTATTTGATCACCTGCTGAATTTGTACGTTTGCCCACTGACAAAGACATGATCAGTCTATAATTTTAATGGTTGGTTTATTTGAACAGTGAGAGACAGAATAACAACAAAAAAATCCAGAAAAACGCATGTCAAAAATGTTATAAATTGATTTGCATTTTAATGAGGGAAATAAGTATTTGACCCCTCTGCAAAACATGACTTAGTAATTGGTGGCAAAACCCTTGTTGGCAATCACAGAGGTCAGACGTTTCTTGTAGTTGGCCACCAGGTTTGCACACATCTCAGGAGGGATTCTGTTCCACTCATCTTTGCAGATCTTCTCCAAGTCATTAAGGTTTCGAGGCTGACGTTTGGCAACTCGAACCTTCAGCTCCCTCCACAGATTTTCTATGGGATTAAGGTCTGGAGACTGGCTAGGCCACTCCAGGACCTTAATAGGCTTTTGGGTCATTGTCATGCTGGAATACCCATCCACAACCCATTTTCAATGCCCTGGCTGAGGGAAGGAGGTTCTCACCCAAGATTTGACGGTACATGGCCCCATCCATCGTCCCTTTGATGCGGTGAAGTTGTCCTGTCCCCTTAGCAGAAAAACACTCCCAAAGCATAATGTTTCCACCTCCATGTTTGACGGTGGGGATGGTGTTCTTGGGGCCATAGGCAGCATTCCTCCTCCTCCAAACACGGCGAGTTGAGTTGATGCCAAAAGCTCGATTTTGGTCTCATCTGACCACAACACTTTCACCCAGTTCTCCTCTGAGTCATTCAGATGTTCATTGGCAAACTTCAGACGGCCCTGTATATGTGCTTTCTTGAGCAGGGGGACCTTGCGGGCGCTGTAGGATTTCAGTCCTTCACGGCGTAGTATGTTACCAATTGTTTTCTTGGTGACTATGGTCCCAGTTGCCTTGAGATCATTGACAAGATCCTCCCGTGTAGTTCTAGGCTGATTCCTCACCGTTCTCATGATCATTGCAACTCCACGAGGTGAGATCTTGCATGGAGCCCCAGGCCGACGGAGATTGACAGTCCTTTTGTGTTTCTTCCATTTGTGAATAATCGCACCAACTGTTGTCACCTTCTCACCAAGCTGCTTGGCGATGGTCTTTCCAGCCTTGTGTAGGTCTACAATCTTGTCCCTGACATCCTTGGAGAGCTCTTTGGTCTTGGCCATGGTGGAGAGTTTGGAATCTGATTGATTGATTGCTTCTGTGAACAGGTGTCTTTTATAAATGTAACAAGCTGAGATTAGGAGCACTCCCTTTAAGAGTGTGCTCCTAATCTCAGCTCGTTACCTGTATAAAATAAACCTGGGAGCCAGAAATCTTTCTGATTGAGAGGGGGTCAAATACTTATTTCCCTCATTAAAATGCAAATCAATTTATAACATTTTTGACATGCGTTTTTCTGGATTTTGTTGTTGTTATTCTGTCCCTCACTGTTCAAATAAACCTACCATTAAAATTATAGACTGATCATTTCTTTGTCAGTGGGCAAACGTACAAAATCAGCAGGGGATCAAATACTTTTTTCCCTCACTGTAGTCATTTAGCAGACGCTCTTATCCAGAGCGACTTACAATTTGGTGCATTCAACTCAGGATAGCCAGTGCGACAACCACCCTTTTTTATGGGGGGGTGGGGGAGGGGGGGGGGGGGGGGGGGGTAAAAGGATTACTGTTATACTATTCCAGGTATTCCTTAAAGAGATCTCCGGGAGGTGGTCAGTGACTCCACTGTCCTGGCGTTGTGGGGGAGCTTGTTCCACCATTGGGGTGCCAGAGCAGCGAATAGCTTTGACCGTGCTGAGCGGGAATTGTGCTTCCATAGAGGTAGGGGGGCTAGCAGGCCAGAGGTGGATGAACGTAGTGCCCTCGTTTGGGTGTAGGGTCTGATCAGAGCCTGAAGGTAAGGAGGTGCCGTTCCCCTCACAGCTCCGTAGGCAAGCACCATGGTTTTGTAGTAGATGCGAGCTTCAACTGGAAGCCAGTGGAGTGTGCGGAGGAGCGGGGTGACATGAGAGAACTTGGGAAGGTTGAACACCAGATGGGCTGCAGCGTTCTGGATAAGTTGTAGGGGTTTAATGGCACAGGCAGGGAGCCCAGCCAACAGCGAGTTGCAGTAATCCAGACGGGAGATGACAAGTGCCTGGATTAGGACCTGTGCCGCTTTCTGTGTAAGGTAGGGTCGTACTCTGCGAATGTTGTAGAGCATGAACCTGCAGGATCGGGTCACCGCTTTGATGTTAGCGGAGAATGACAGGGTGTTGTCCAGGGTCACGCCAAGATTCCTTGCACTCTGGGAGGAGGACACAATGGAGTTGTCTACCGTGATGGCGAGATCATGAGCGGGCAGTCCTTCCCCGGGAGGAAGAGCAGCTCCGTCTTGCCGAGGTTCAGCTTGAGGTGGTGATCCGACATCCACACTGATATGTCCGCCAGACATGCAGAGATGCGATTCGCCACCTGGTTATCAGAAGGGGGAAAGGAGAAAATTCATTGTGTGTCGTCTGCGTAGCAATGATAGGAGAGACCATGTGAGGATATGACAGAACTAAGTGACTTGGTGTATAGAGAGAATAGGAGAGGGCCTAGAACTGAGCCCTGGGGGACACCAGTGGTGAGAGCACGTGGTGCGGAGACAGATTCTCGCCACGCCACCTGGTAGGAGCGACCTGTCAGGTAGGACGCAATCCAAGAGTGAGCAGCGCCGGAGATGCCCAACTCGGAGAGGGTGGAGAGGAGGATCTGATGGTTCACAGTATCAAAGGCAGCAGATAGGTCTAGAAGGATAAGAGCAGAGGAGAAAGAGTTAGCTTTAGTAGTACGGAGAGCCTCCGTGACACAGAGAAGAGCAGTCTCAGTTGAATGACCAGTCTTGAAACCTGACTGGTTTGGATCAAGAAGGTCATTCTGAGAGAGATAGCAGGTGTGTTGGCTAGAGACGGCACACTCAAGAGTTTTGGAGAGAAAAGAAAGCAGGGATACTGGTCTGTAGTTGTTGACATCGGAGGGATCGAGTGTAGGTTTTTTGAGGAGGGGTGCAACTCTCGCTCTCTTGAAGACGGAAGGGACATAGCCAGCGGTCAAGGATGAGTTGATGAGCGAGGTGAGGTAAGGGAGAAGGTCTCTGGAAATGGTCTGGAGAAGAGAGGATTGGCTCAAATGCATTAAGAAGGAAAGAAATTCCACAAATTAACTTTTAACAAGGTGCACCTGTTAATTGAAATGCATTCCAGGTGACTACCTCATGAAGCTGGTTGAGAGAATGCCAAGAGTGTGCAAAGCTGTCATCAAGGCATAGGGTGGCTATTTGAAGAATCTCAAATATAAAATATATTTTGATTTGTTTAACACTTTTTTGGTTACTACATGATTCCATATGTGTTATTTCATAGTTTTGATGTCTTCACTGTTATTCTTCAATGTTGAAAATAGTAACCATAAAGAAAAACCTTTGAATGAGTAGGTGTTCTAAGACTTTTGACCTGTAGTGTATATGACATGGGATTACTCCATTCATCTGACTGTCCAAGTTAATGGTCCTACATTCACCAAGCAATGATTTGGGACCTATACAGTACTTGTACATACTTCAGCCCAAAAGACTGATTATATGTCAACAGGACTGTAATGATTAGACAGCCATTTCAACCTTTGTTCCTTTCCACAGTTTCTGTCAGTGTGTTAATTTACAGCCTTGTGGCTGGAGTTAGAGGAAGTCACTTTATTATTATTATTGAACAGTCCTCGACTCCACCCTTAGAACTTTGAACTTTGAACTTTTTATGCTGTAAAAACTATGATTTTACCTTATGCCCACATTGGTATACATAATTGCATTTTTGCACACAATAAATTATTTCTCTGTGTTCATTTTGGCATATCCTTGTGACAAATCAGTAATTTATGGTTGGATACTAATAATAATTCTGAAAATAGTCCCATTAGAATCATTGTGAGAGTGGTTGAAACCAGCCCTTGTAAACACACCTCTTAACGGCTGCCTGCCTGGGACGGAGCTCAGTCTGGTCCACAGTTTAGTATGTATCACACAAATAGCCTTGCACATGTTCCTGTATATTATCTTAACATGTGTGTGCACGCTGTTTTAAAGATTTTGGCACAAATAAAACATGACAGAGCCATCAACATAGGCTTTTTTGTCTGCCAGTCAATGTAGCCCCCCCCCCCACCCCCTTATGTAACTGTCGTTGACATAAACAGTTTCTGCAAAATTAGCCACTGAATTATGTGGAAGGAAGTAAACAGTTTGTGATTGATACTCTAGGTTGGAGGTAGATGGCCCTTTTGTCAGGTCCTGATGGAAGAAAAAAACAGCTGAAAAAAGGGTTTCATGCATAGTAATAACATTCATCCATATTCCACCCTAAGTCAGAATAAAAACTATGAATACAACATTTCTCTAATGGTAATGACCGCCGGGCAACGGTAGCAGTGGAATCCAGATTTTCGGACGCGTCAAGTCACGGCTCGGTCGCCCCACTCTCCACTGCCGCTGTGTATTATTGCAATTTATTACGGCGAAAAATTGAAATATAATGACTGGAGGCTGGGAGGCTGAGAAGAGTCATGCTTGAAAATGTCAACTAAACAGTCCCTGATTGTTTTTAACCACATTCTGATGAACAGGCAATCCAGCCTGCCTCGCATACAACCCTACTGTTTCTCTCCGAGGGTTGAGGATGATTGCAAGTTCACAGATGCAGTCTCATTTTTAAAAGAAGCTATTATGGAGAAATTACTTCCACCATCGTGTCAACTCCTCTCTTTAGAGACTTCCCAAGCTTTTAGGAAATCATTGATTCAATTGTCTTTGTAATTTCTTTTCAGACCCTTACACTGAAAAACCCTTACACTTTTTGTACAATCTATTACATCTGAAACGTGCACATGTGGATGTGTAATGTTGAATGTTTTCCTGTACATTAGAGCCAGTCGTCAGATGTGCTCCTTGACATGAGGTTGATCGATTTGAAGGACACTCTACCAGAGGGCTTTATACCCATCCAAGAAACAGTGGACACCAGTAAGTAAGCAGTGGCCCCTAAACCACAACCGTATCTCTGAAGGTTTTTCTGGCCCCTCACTAGCTTTGACTTTGCTTTAACCAGCCTCTGTGAAAGTCCTATGGGGCAGCTTAGCTTGAAATAGTGAATGTTTTATGGGTGCAGGTTATCTTAATTTATGATAGTCTGTGGGAATAAAATAAACATTTTGCCCTGGAGGTACAAGGGAAGAGAATCATGAGTCATTGTTTATCTCAGCTGGAGCTGTGCTTTTCTTTATGAGGGGCTTATTTATTTATGTATTTTTTGGGGGATAGGACGAGTGGATGGGGGTTATCTAATATTAATGAAATGCATTCCCCAATGCTTTAGTGCTCTTTGAGTGCTTTGTATTCCCCCTCACTATCCAGGCCTTGAAAATGTAATAATATTTTGTGTGGGGAGTGAGGACAGCTGTTTATTATTTTTATTATCATCACATTTACACTGCACTTTCTATCACTGGTTGGAAATAAATGGGCGAGGCACAGAAGTAATATGGGCAAGCATGGGTATGTTTTCTAGCTGGAATGAAGAACAGAAAGATTATGTATTGTTGGGCTATGGTTTAATGTAATGTTTTATTACTTTATGTGAATCCATGTTTAATGTATACATCTAACATTATGTATCCATATCCAGTAAAAATCCACATTCATATTTGGTAGCATATACTGTGGCTGCTGTAGGGGTTAGCATTTGTCTTTCATTTTCTAATCATCATTATTGGTTTTTGTCAGTGCTTACCAGTATTCTGTGTGTTTATAGTTCATATCATTATTTTATGCATAGCTGTGACCAAGAGATGCACTTGGCCTCTAGTTCATGATCCCTAATATGGTCTGTCTCTCTCCTTGTCCGTCAGAGGAGCCTGCCTTGAGGAAGAAGAGGCTGTATGTTAGGCTCGGCCTACGTGTAGCCACAGAGACTGCTGTGTGTGACATCCAGATCCAGGGGAAGTCCAAGCACACCCTTACACACTACACTTGTATTGGGTGAGTGGACAGACCTGTAAAAGGAATATTGTATTTATTTTCAGACTTTCTACCTGACACCCATAGCATTGTGTTTTGACATGCAATACCATGGCAACGCTCTCAGTAGGTTGTCATTGATTTTGCATAGTCTCCAATGAGCAGGATCCCCATTTTCCTTCTCAGAACGTACTTTGCCTGCAGCCTGCTAGAGGCACCTGCCTGGACATAAACAGTGCACAGTCTGCCAGTAGTACCTCATTTCACCATGCAAGAGAAACAAAGGGCTCACTCAGTCTTCTGCTCTGATCATCCACATTTCTGTTGTTTATCAATCATATATGAGCTGTACTCTCATCAATTATGTCATTGAATTTTAACAATGGATTTAGTCTTGGAATCTTTCTGAAATGTCCTTGTGACAGTGTTGCCCATGAATTGAGGAGTATTATTTTACATTTGACTGGTGTGTGACTCTTGTTTCTACAGAGAGCTAAACAATATGGAGATTTTGTATCGAATGGGAAATGTCCATCCATCCACTGAGACCGCTATCTACAAATCAATGCCCAACACCACAAGGTACATACCAAGTTCGTAATGATGCTTTTATAACCAAGCATCAACACCCTCTCTCTCAACTTTTAGTTGAAAAGGACCATGCCATTGTTTTGTGTTTACAGTATTTGGAAACATATGAGTCCTAAGTTTAGATTTGCCACATTTGTCCATTTTGGGTTCCTTTAGGTATGTTTGTGATCCATTAGTCAATACCTCTTGAGTGATACAGTCGATTACACACAAGTGATTGACAGTTTATACTCATACAGTACATGTCCTGATAGCTGTGCCTGGTCAGAGAAAGCAGTGAAGGAGTACTGGAGAGAAATGGAAAATAGACAGGATCCCCTGAATGGGAACCAGGGCTAAACTCCTGCTATTTGTGCTCTGTCTCAAGTTGGAGAGCCGGGTCGCTCTTTGACTGTGGTGACATTAGTGCTGTTGTACTGTGCAAACAAAGGGGAAGAAACATAGCCTGGAGAGAGAGAGACCGCTGCAGAGGAAGGGAGGGGAAGAGCTCCACCATGCCATACTGTTGTTGTACCGTACCCCCATCCTCAGCTGCTCTGTCTGCCCTGCCTGGGGCCCACAGAGAAGGAGCAGGGCTTTGTACTGCAGCCAGATCCAACAGCTTAATTATTTATTGCAATGAAGTACTGGGGATTTCCAGAGCAAATTGTAAGTAAACTATCAAGATTCCTTTTGAATGGCAGTGTAGAGGGGGGCTTGGCAGGGGTATCGATGGGGTTGCCAGCTTGAAGTGCTGCTCTTGGAATGTTAGAGGCTCAATGTGGAGAGCGGTATGAAAACTACTCCACTCCACAGCAGAGGTCAGAGTGAAGGTGGCCAGACTGATGGAGTACTACTCAAAGGTGAGACTGTTCAAATGGCTATTAGTGATGAGAGAAAGTAGTTTGATTTAAAGTCAAGGTATGAAGTGCAAACTATGATTTGAGAGGAGACGCAAAAATCAGAGTTGTATGAATTGCGAATATTTGGGGAGCAGATAGTTAATAATGTTTGATGTCTCGAAACGATAGAGAAAGCCTAGACCGTATACTCTCTCAACTGTTACCAGTAATCCTTAGCTCTTTTGAAGCCCACTTTCAAGTTGCTGAGGCGTTGGGGGTAAGAATAAATTGAACCTCGAAGCAACAAACCCCCTCCTGATGCCTGCTGAGATCACAGGCTCCTGTTTTTGTATTAACATTAAAATTCATGCCACAGTGTGAGAGCCTTCCTTTTAGTTCATTTCCATCCACAATGCACAGACACAAGATGTATTGAATAAGAAACTCTCGCCAGCCAAAGTACACAATGCCATTTTATAAAGTGTATGTTGCTGTTATGTTCTTTGTTGGCTGCTCCAGACCCCTCATTATAGACAGATAAACAACCAACACATGGAATGGGCACCCTTTCATTATACTGAGGACCTTGTGCTACCATGCATTGCAATATTTCTGGAGTGTTTATGAGGCATCCCACTGGGCACAGACGTCAATTCAACGTCTATTCCACATTAGTTCAACGTAACTTCATTGAATTGACGCGTTAACAACGTTGATTCAACCAGTGTGTGCCCAGAGGCATATAAGCTATGTTTGATTCAATCAGCCAAAATTAGTATGTGCATGTTTTCGAACTACTCCGGCAGTTGTACCTGGTATCTATCATTTCTAAAAACTTGTTTGCATCACTTGAACTCTTTCATTATCCATGTTCAGCGTCTGAGAATTCCCTCCTATGCACTGTGCTGTCTTGGCGCTATCTATTACAACTTTATGGCCATTTGAGAACGGCACTCCTTAAATGTAAGTGCCTTTCACGGTCAGTGGAAAATATGTTTTAAACGCAGTCAATATTGTGTACATTTTTTATGACCCTTGTAATTTTGAATGCTGGTGATCCCTTACAAATGTTAGGTTGCCCCAGGCAATGTGAGCTTGTTAGAGTTGTGCTCTGACTTAAACAACTAAGCCACTTCAACTTTTGTCAGCATTTAAAGCTGTCAGCAACTGTGGTACTGAATTCTGAGTTTGTTCAACCAATTAATTTGTTTAGAAGAATAAACTTGTATGACCATCCCCTGGACATGGTTGGCCTCCACTTCAGTGAGCGCCATAATAACATCTGAGAGCAAGCAGACAGGCCTTGTTTAGAATAACCTGAGCCTTTAGCTAAACTGAAGAGAGATGTTGTTATGTACTTTTTCTGATCAGTTTCGTCTGGAACATCCTTACTTGCTGCCGTGTCCCGTTAATTTATTACTTTGGCCTGGTGTCAACCACTTCAGCTCTCTTTCCATCTTGAGAGAGGCCAGTCAGCCACTTCCTGACTCCCTTATGTGGAAAAGCTGTGCCGTCCCGTCAGGCTTTTAATGCATCCACTGCAGCAGCCCCCTCTCCTCTCATCTTCGCTCCTCCTTTCCAACGCTGCTATTTGTTCTCCTGATAAAACTGTCATTGCTAAGGCTGATATCTGACCTCTAGTTGGACTGGTGGCATAAATGAGCCTTGTGCTAATATTGCAATGTATTTTTTTCTCCCGCAGAATCAAGGTTTTTGACATTTCTCTTGGAATAATAGCCTGATGTGTGCCTGGACACTTTTTTAATCAAATGGCCTAGCGATAAAAATGTTAAGGCAAATCATATTTTCCACACCGTAACATGACCATATTTGTATGATTTTGCAGTTTAAAACATTATTCATAAAGTAACTGTGTCTGACGGAGGTCAGGAAATATAATTGAATGCCAGGATCCTCTAGCTTTTATATTGTCCCTTTCTCTGCTTTTGACACTTTCCACTGTGTCCCAGCTGTGCAGTGGCATTGTACCTGTCCCCATTCCTCGCTGCTTAACCAGCACTGTACCTGATTCTTGAAGGAGGCCATCATTGTCTGTGAGTGTGCTGTTATGACAGACCTCCCAGCGTCACCGTCAAACTTACTGAATGCACTCTTTCTTTGTTTTGCGGAATCCTAAAAAAGTTGGCAAATGTATATCTCAAATCAAGCAAATGGATGCAGAACGGTGCCACAAACAATAGAATCATCAAGTGAAATCTGATGTGCTCCGTGTGCTCATAGATTTTCCTGTGAATTCATGCAGCTATTCTTTTCAGCACCTGACACAAAGCTTAAAGGGAGATAATGATGGGTGAGGAAGCAGCCCCTGCAAAGCAGGACTGTCTGCTTGTTGAGGAAGGTGTGGAGATGTTGTCATGGAAGAGGCTGGATGAGTGTCAAAACAAGAGCTCCCAACTCCCTCTATGGCAGCTCAGGCTCTTCACTGATATTATTTGTATCCTTGTTTTGCCTCTCTGCAGACTACTACTTGTCTGTCCACTGTCTAACAGATGTTCTCCTCTTCTTTTCAGATAGATAGCTTCATTTTCTTTTACCTCATTTCTATCTCACCGAACAAATATATAAAACCATAAATTGATATTAGGATTTAGACAGCTGATTGATCTTATCAAGCAATCAGCAGTACTCTAGTTTTACTTAGAACATTCTGCCTTGAAGATGTGAGCCAGCTCAAAGTGGATCAGGTTGTTATTTATGCATATGGCTTTTATGCATATGTGTTTGTGATTACATTCCGTATCGATTTCATTGGACCAATGGGCTCCTGAGTGAAGTTGTAATTGTTTAAATCTTTCAGGCCATGTTCGCAGTTTTACAGTAATTTAATGAGGAACTACATTGTAATTAAATATTCAAATTAGGAACAAGTGTCAATATGGCTCTTGTTGCCTAGAATGATGATTAATTGTAGTCAAAACTCCAGTGGCCAACATAATCTGAGCCCAACTGCTACCGTTGATTACATAGCAATACACTTGCCATGTTTTTGTTTTAAGAATTAGACTTGATTTGCCATATGGCACCCTATAGCCAGTACACCCAAATCATCTCTAGAAGTCACAGAATTTGGAATAAGACAGTTCTTTGTGGTTTAAGATTAATATGAAGATGGAAACTCTTAGACCCCTTACTATAACCAGGAGTTGCACTTTCTGTGAACATATTGCTGATTTCATTCAATCCAGTTCTTCTGTGGATGTTATGTTTGCTGATCATTTCATTGGTCCATGAAGATTTGTTGGTGTGGGAGGATCAACCATGCTCTATTCTATGGCAATGTCTGATCTTCCCTTGATTTCAGTTAGTGGCAACCCATAATTTCATTATAAAGTGCTTTGTTTTTGTACCAGGAAAGATGCAATATTGAGTACAATAGTTTTCAAAGGCCAGCTAAACATATCTCCATTTTGACCTTATCAAAATGGTGATATTTGAGCAAATGGATGTTTCAAAGAAGGTTTTCTCTGAATGCTTAATTTACATTTGTGTATCTCAATGGATCGGTTCATTGTTCTATGCTATATCATGAACCAAAGCGCTCAAGCGCATTTCTTCAAAAGAGCATCTAAACAATCTCCCTTCAGTTTATCAGTGTTTGTGAAATGTCTCACTGCTTGGAGAGGCATGTCCCTTCCCTTTTCAGCATTGGCGTCAACCTTTGCAAGGTAAGGAAAGTCTTCATTAAATGTGGCAATCGGTTCCACAAGATTGATGCCAACCTTTTAAAAATTCACCATTGCCCTGGATTTAAGATGGCCAAATGCTGATGTAAATGAACAGGGTAAAAGTCGACCCTATCATGGCAAATAAATCTGAGTTGCAGGCCTCAGCTCATAAATACCACAACCTGTCAGGGAGTTTGTTTTATTGCTTTTGATAGAAATTATTGCATTTATTTATCTCATCAAAAGAGATAGAAACGTAGAATAGCCACAACTCATGCAGTGTTGCCCTCAGAATATGCAGAGATGCAGATATGTCGCTAGTCTTCTGGAAATTTATTTTTCAGCCCCCTGAAGATGATTTGTCCTAACCACAAACAGAGCAAATGGGCAAACACACATAAACATACACAGAATACACAACTACAGTATTTGAATCCTTGTGCCCCTAGCTAAGGGTATTTAAAGTTCCTATATTACATGAACACCTTGCTCAGCATTACCCTACATTTGGACACACTGTAGCCTATTGCTATATCAGATGAGTTTCATAATGTTCTGGTGGAACTCATTTTAACTTCAATGCATGTTCAAAGTCACATTATGCAGCTCTCCTGAAGCTGAGAAATTATTTGCGCTTGCTGTGGATTTATCGATCAGTAGGGGTTAGTCACAGGTTGTAATTCATGATAGCTTGATTGATGAAGATTGCAATCTTATACGGTTTGTTAGCTCCAACTGCCCATGAAGTGCATCGCATGCTGTTTTTTTTTGTAATTCAAGCCTGTAGTATGGTAAAACAGACTTCCCTTGAGTAATATAATTTATATTCCTTTAGCACTAACCAGGCCATAATCCCAGACCCAAACCATTAAAGGACTACCAAAGCCCCCTTGGCAGCTCACGTACAGGCTAGCTTTTATTTCATATCCAGCCCCTCTTCTGTCAGGTGTGTCTTGACCTGATCAACACGCTGTCTGATCTTGAAGGGGGTGGGGGTGTCGTCATGGGGATGATTGGGTTGGAATCGGAAGATCCTGCCCGTGTGAACCCCTTCTCCTCCTGACACTGAATCCACGCCTTGGCGTTCTTCTCCAGATCTCAGAGAAAATGTCACATTCAATGTTGTGGTACACTTGTCTGACGTGACACAGTGCTTTATCTCCTCCAGGCAAATACCTGCAGTGCTCCCCACCAGCCCCTACAGGAGGAGCACCAGCAGGCCTGACTCAGAGAGCTCCAGTCTCTATACCATATCAGGTAACTGTCTTTTTACTGCACCAACAACACCACATAGGGAGTCTCACTGTGTATGATATGTATTGTGCAAATTATACAGTATGGTAAGGCGTATTGCAAATTATCTAAACTGTATTCTAAATCAGTTTAGCTCGCTCACTGTGCCCCAACCTGACCCACTATAAATTTAAGCTGAATGTTCAATTTCTATCACTTGCAGAATCAAGTTTTTTAAAATCTTTCTAGCCATATGTTGTTATGAAAGTATTTAATCTCCACCAACGTGTAGATTGCTCCTTTGGTAATTGATCTATGCACACATTTTACGTCTTTTATCACAGACGTGTAAAGAGCTGTGCTTATCTGAAATAATGAACACTGCTTCCCAGAGGAGCTCAGCATTACACTCAAGAGAACGTTTAACAGCTGTCAAATATGATTCATCACATGCCACGCTCACATTTACCTGCAGTTTTCTGCTGTAGGAGAAATGCAAACTGAATGCTCTTTTAGTAATAATAGAGTGGAAAGTGGAATGAAATTGATCTGGACTGGAACTTAGTTTAAACTTGGCTTGGTTATAGAGTCAGAACTTGCTGAGACACCGTAGTGGCTGGGGTGGTGTTTCTCCAGACGAGGTAGAGAGTAGAGCAGGCAGGTTTTATCCAGCTGGAGAGAGACACCATGTGGTGAGGATTCCTCTTGTTCCACAGTGGAGAGATAGCGGGTTGTGGCATGCAGTTATCATCCCAGTTATCCCTGTCACACACTGACTGTCTCCTAACTAGTTTTTAAAGATAGTCAAGCCTACCAGTCCGCTATTATATGATCTCACACTTTCATAACATATAATTACTGATTTAGGGATAATATTTTTCAATGTTATTTAGAATGTTAATGTTATTGTTTGTAATACCTATCTACAGTACCTGCTACCTACCTTGGTCTGGTCTGTGGCCTTCCATGTGTTATACCTCTGTTAGGACAGTTTTGAGTGACAATAAGAACCATGGAGATTCAGTACACTGCCAGCAATCATCATTTATCAATAGAGGCCGTGCTCTATAATCATACCAATGCTGTTGGTGCCTGCTCTTTTATCTCCAATTCACAAATCCTCCAAGCCTTTCTCTCTCTTTGAATCACTTTGTGGGGTTTGAAGAGAGGGGTTCATCTTCCCAGTCGTACTGTACAAAGACTTTCTCTTTCAGCTTCATTTGTCTTGAAAAGAGAGCCTTCCAGCCACACATTTAGATTGTGAGAGGCAGTATCTTTCCTCCTTCGTTAACAGTGTGACGACCTGCAGAATAAGTGTGGGGTCGGAGCAGACGATGGGTTTGTGTTAATTGTGAACTGCGTGGTGTGTTTGGTGTGTTGACAGCTGGCCAGGTTCACATTGGTCTAAAACCATGTGCGCTCTGTCAGGGTTATACAGGCGCCTTCTTTAGGATTGATGAATTGCCTGCTTTCTTGATTAAACCCTCCGTCACTTCCCAACAAAACAAAAACCCAACACAAAAAAAGAACGAGTCGAGGGGAGGAGAGGCAACATGTCTGGGAAATCTGTCATCTTCAGTCACTTTATGTGCAGATGTGATGTGCAGGCGCTTTGACATTTATTACCAGAATATTAAAAACTAATTCACATAGATTTTTCAAGCTTCTCTCACTTGACAGTTCAAGCTCATTTTGACAGAGATGAAGTTTTCACAACAGCCCAACCTTTTCATTATTTCACCAGTATCTCTTTGATCCGAGGCAAGTTTCTTTGCCAATTATTTCCTATACCATTGGCAGGGGAGCAAGTTATTCCTGGTGCATGTAATTATAATGAAATGTGCATTTATGAAATGTGTTAGGAAATGTATTGTATTGTAACAAAATGCATCTTCAATGGTATATAGCCTTCAAGCTCAACTCTGGACCTCGAAGCTAGTTCCACTGTATTTTTTCATTGTTCCCCTCTAATCAGGGACTGATTTAGACCTGGGACACCAGATGGGTGCAATTAATTAATCAGGTAGAACAGAAAACCAGCAGGCCCCGGACCTCGTAGTGTAAGAGTTGAATACCCCTGGTATATAGTATTCTATTAATTTACATAATTAGAAGTACTGTTTTATTTCTCTTTACTTCACTACATAATATAAAAAGATGATTGTGTTTTGAATGGAGTTCATATACTATTTGCTTGATTGTGTATCCATTGAACAGCAAATCACATTTAGCAGACATCCTAGTGAAAAAAAGGTAAACCTAATAAAAAGTAATACATTAACATATCTATTGCGTTAATCAAAAAATCCTGACATTGGCCCTGATATAACGTAATATGGAGCGCAATTATTTCCCAATCCATTAAAAGAAGTTCAATTAACAGACGGGAGACAGTTCATCCGTCAGAGGAGAGAGAAAAAAAGGAAGATTCAAAATTAACTTGGGTTTGCAAAATATCATGTCAGAAGGATGACAATGATTTTTGATTTTCTGGAACCAATATTAGAATCCTTATTAAACTATGTGCATCTGGAAAATGCAATGGGGCTTTCCAATTAAAGCGCCACTTTACGCTGTTTAATAATACCCTCAAAATATTATAGCTTATGAAATGACAGGTGAGTTGGTGTATGAATAAAACATAAAGCCCCGTAATAAGAGACAGAAAAAAATGAGACAGTTGTTTGGGGGCTTTTAAATGCTCGACATAATTTGCATATATTAATCTCCTCTTTTCAGCCTTATCAAGCATTCCACTGTATTTTAAGTTAAAATAGTCGTGACAGGCAGGGGTCTACACTTAGTTTTTCCAAGGATTTATTACTTGTATAATTCCGGATCTTTAATAAGCCAATATGACTGATCCTCTGAGTTTTGTGGAATTCAGTTAATTGTTCCAGATGGTGCTCACTGATTATGCAAAATTACTTTCTTTCTCCTCTTTTTCCCCAAATACACCATTTTTTGATTGACTAACATTGAGAAAAAAGATTATTTTTGGCCCAGCACTTTCATTAAGAGGCTTCTCATCAGGTTTCAAACAAAAGTTCCATCTTATCTCTCTCTGTGGTGCTGGGCTTGCCGGGCCAGCCTCTGCAGAGGGAGGAGTTCAGCCCCTAGTAATCTCCAACTGTAATCTCAACCCACTATGATGTATCTCCTCAGCCTCTGCACTAGCGTGGCTATATTTTATAATAACAACATTCTTTAGGCTGAGGGATCAAAAAACAACCTCTGCCTAGTGACACAAGTCATTGGCAGGTTTTTCTTATTCAATGGCTTGGTGGCACCTCTGGTGGTTGATTAAAACACTAACCAGTGGGGTGTTTTCCTCTCCTGATAGGCGTCCATCCAAAGGATCCTGGATCAAGTAAATTGAGCCAAATGAATCTTGCATGGATATTTGATGGGGGGAGGTATTGAGCAGATTTACTGCTGTGTTTTAATTTAGATGGTACAAGATTAAAAATATGCAATTCCTGTACAATAAACTATTCTAAATGTCTGAAACAAAGCCCAAGGGTTCGGGCTTGCGTCAAGGCATGAAAAACTGTGAAGCTTATTTTCTAAAGCCCATTAATGATTTATTATTATAGTCAGTGTGGAGAGAGAAGCAAGAGAGTGCTTAAAGCATGCTTACTCACAAAGTGAACATCCCCTAAAGCTGGTGGTCATTTTACCATTTTGGTTATTAGTATCTTGAATATTACAAGTATTTTCTTTTGTCAAGACATTTTACCTAGATACCTAATCAAAATTGTTTATGTTTTGATAAGCTGCTAACTTCAAAAGGCCATACATTTAAGCATATTAATATATTTACGAACAAATTATATGAATGCAGTCTTTCAGAACCCCATTAGACTCAAATAAGTGACTTGGAATAGTTTTGCATTTGCAGACCAGACTGGACTCTGGAGTCACGTCCCTCATTGCTCTCCATTCTTCCCTGGAATAAAAGCAGGGCTCCATTATTCTCAGTGGCCAGGCATGGGGGCCATCAATGGTCACAGCTCCCTCATTCCCTCCATGTAAAGCAGGGTTTGTTATCACATATCTAATTAGAACTTGATAAAAAATATTTCCCCAAAATCCAGTCATTAAATATAGTTTAAGGAGATTTATGGACAAATATGCCTTAAAGATATTTTAATGGCTCTGCTGACTTGTTAAGTTTGTAATTAATGATCTCATAATACATACTGTAGTAAAACGCATATTGAGATTCTGGAAATGAAGTAGTTTTGGAAAAGGGCATCTGGGGCTCCCAGAAACTATATTAACATCTTAAGGATCGGCCCCTTTTTTTCAATTTACGCCTAAAATGACATACCCAAATCTAACTGCCTGTAGCTCAGGACCTGAAGCAAGGATATGCATATTCTTGATACCATTTGAAAGGAAACACTTTGAAGTTTGTGGAAATTTGAAGTTAATGTAGGAGAATATAACACATTAGATCTGGTAAAAGATAATACAAACAAAAAAACATGAATTTTTTGTTTTTGTTTTGTTCCATCATCTTTGAAATGCAAGAGAAAGGCCACAATATAATATTGCAGCTTAGGCGCAATTTAGATTTTGGCCACTAGCAAAGTTTCAGATTGATCCAGTGAAGTATTGCAATACTGGACTATTTTGTATCAAGTCTGACCAAATGTGCCGAATTAGTCAATTGATACATTTTCAAGTACATAGCTATAGAGAACATACAAAAATGATATGGTAATACAAAATGTAACTTTACAAACTCCCAGGAATGTCATACATGATGGATCATTAACTTATACACTAACTTTCACACATCTATAGTGAGGGAAAAAAGTATTTGATCCCCTGCTGATTTTGTACATTTGCCCACTGCCAAAGACATGATCAGTCTATAATTTTAATGGTAGGTTTATTTGAACAGTGAGAGACAGAATAGCAACACAAAAATCCAGAAAAACGCATGTCAAAAATGTTATAAATTGATAAGTATTTGACCCCTCTGCAAAACATGACTTAGTACTTGGTGGCAAAA